GGACTATCAAGTACCAGGGCTCGATTCCGGTTTCGAAAGGCAAGGGTAATCATCTATTTGTTGGAGCCCCTTAGGCCTGAAATCGGAGAACCTTACGGGTAATCGGGGAGTTCTGTGTCGCTACAGTTGACTTCGAAAGTTTACAGTTTACGGCTTACTCACGCCTTTCTACTCACGACGATTACCTGTTGACATATAGTAATTATGTAATGTAATGTAAGAACAAAGAACACACTAAAAGGAACGAAGTGCCCTCCGGGCACTATCGCTCTCGAAAATTGAATTTTGTAAGGAGAGCAAGCCTGAAAAGTTAGAAAAATCAAAATTTTGTGCGCTGGCTTCGAAGCGAAATCGCACGCACACATACATACGTTCTTCATCGCGCTCCTTTCAGAGACTGTGAAACAAAAAGCATTCAATGAGAATATAGGCGTAAGATGAACGAACGATGAGCGTAAGAAAGAGAGTAAGAACTCACTCTGGGGCCTGTCGCAAGAAATTTGTAAATCCATTTCCGTTTTATGGAATGGGTTGTCTATATGCTGTATGGATAGTGATATTATGCTACTGGTGGAAGAAAAAACAATATTTTTTGTAATCTTACAAACAAATACAAATTTCAAATAAGAAGCTACACAATCTTCCGCACAGATCATCCGGATGAGAAATGCAGTTTACTGCCCTGCTCCTTCTCAATCTCGGAAGCACAATTCTCTTGTCGATCGTTTTATAGCCGCAGGAGACTACAATGTCAAACATACGCCCTGGTGATCACGTCTAGTGAATTCCAAAGGAACGCAATTGTACAATGCAATTATAAATGTGAAAAATAAACTGGACTATGTTTCCCCTAGAAGTCCCTCATACTGCCCAACAGACCCACGCAAACTCCCAGACTTTATTGACTTTGCGGTGCGAAAAAACATACCTCGCAATCTATAAAAGTGCCAAAGCAGTCTCGGACTTATCATCAGACCACTCGCCTGTGCTTTTAACGCTTCTTCAAAGCCCAAAAATAACCGAACACCCCTTCAGCCTGCCGTCACCAAAAACGAGCTAGCTTAGAACTCCCAGCTTTGGGGGAACGCGAGCAGCAGCAACATAGACATCATACACCGCGCACAATCAAAAAATTGATCACTAGGGCACCTTGGTATAATCGCAACGAAAACATTCACTCTGCATTCTCGCAGTGAAAGACGAAATCCAGAAGCAATAAGAGTCATACAAAGAAAAACTGTCTTCGCACCCAAATTTTCTCGCTCGGGAATTCTAACGTATCCCGCCGGTGACACAACGCAAATGTTCGTTAAGTTAAAAATGTAAGATTTGATACGACTCTTGTTAGTTTCGCAAAGAGAAGATTCCAGATATAAAAGCAAAGCTCAAAAAAAAAATTTGATAAAATGGTGCATTTAATAAACAGTAATGTAAATATCTTGATATATATATAAATATGTGTAAAATATAAACTCATAACAAATATGTGTGTTCTAAAAATCATTATCACCAATGAAACTTAAATTTTTATATTATTTATTATTCAACATTTATATATAGTTATTTTTAGAGAGATAATTTTCATAAAAAGTGTACGGTTTCTACTTCGTTACAAAGTCTTAAGGGGAGGGTAAGGTATTAAATTTTTTTTTTTTTAATTTTTTTTTTATTTTTATACCCTTGCAGAGGGTATTATAATTTTGTCCAAAAGTGTGCAACGCAGTGAAGGAGACATCTCCGACCCTATAAAGTATATATATTCTTGATCAGGATCACCTCCCGAGTTGATATGAGCATGTCCGTCTGTCCGTCTGTCTGTCCGTTTCTACGCGAACTAGTCTCTCAGTTTTAAATCGTCTTGAAACTTTGCACACACCCTTCTTTTCTTTGCACGCAGTATATAAGTCGGAACGGCCGGGATCGGCCGACTATATCCTATAGCTGCCATATAACTGATTGATCGGAAATGGTATAACTTTGGTGTTTTTAGAGTTAGAGAGTTCAAATTTGACATGAGAGCTATTTTTGGCAAAATATTACGACATGCCAAATTTCGTAAGGATCGGCCGACTATATCCTATAGCTGCCATATAACTGAACGATCGGAAATGACCCAACTTTCGTGTTTTTGATGATAGAAAGCTGGAACTTGGTACACATTCTATTTTTGGTCAGTTAATTCGATCTACCAAATTTCATAACGATCGGTTGACTATATCTTATAGCTGACATATAACTAAACGATCGGAAATGGTATTTGGTAGATATATCAACTTTCGTATTTTTGAAGATAGAAGCATGCGACTTTTTTTAGATTTTTTATTGTAATTAATTGGTTTTATTATTATGATGTTTGCGATATATATCCGGTTTTAGCTGCAAGGGTATATCAACTTCGGCTCCGCCCAAAGTTAGCTTTGCTTTCTTGTTTAAATTGAATGCATAATATTTGAAGAATATTGTGTCAAAATTTTAATTAGAGCAAAATTGACGAAGTTATTAGTTATTGACGAAGTTGCTCATAAACATTTTACACTGGATTACACTGGTGTTTAAGGGGTGATATACAGTTGTGATATATGAAAAAATCGATTTTTTTTTATTGCATATTCTTTAAGTATATTTTATTGGGAATACTCTCACAAAAATTCATAACGATCGGAGCATTAGAACCGAAGCTGTAGCTATTTATAGCGCACTATCTGCATATTAATCCTGAACAAACTTGAAACTTTAAACGCGATTATCTCAGAATCTTTTTTTTGGGAAATTACCTTTGCGGTGGACACGATTACTAAAAAACTACTAATTCGATCAACACCAAATTTTTACCACTTATTTATTATGATATTAGCTAGTCCGTGAACGAGGGATTTTCAATTTTTTTGAAAACTCCTTTTTTAAAGCACAAAAAACGAAAATCTTATACGTTGAAAAAGTACATTTTTTGTTAAAAACGTCGCCATTTTTTTTTTAATAAAAATTTTTAAAAATCCCTCGTTCACGGACTAGACAATACAATATACTAACTAAACTTTTTTGAATTTTGGATTTCGGATGAACCGTTTTCGAGAAATCTTGTCCACCGCAAGACACCATCGAAAAAAGACGATCCGGGAATTCGGCTATAACATTTTTGTTATGTAATATTTTTTTATGAAAAAATGTAATTAAGTACCCAGAAACATGAACTAAACAATGTCGGTAAAACATTTTTCATAAATATTTTCTATGGTGTCAAAAAAAAATCGATAAAAATCCATATTTTTGCGCGGTACAACTGTATATAACCCCTTAAAACTTTAAAGCGTTTTTCCCACAACTCACGTTTTCAAAGTCGGTGCCCCTCATAACTTCAAAACTACTGCACCGATCCTTTTGAAATTTTAAACACTATTTCTGTACATATTTTACGAGGTAACGCTGTCGAGTTTTTTTTTTTTTTTCATAATTTTGGTTTTGCAATGACAAATTAACCGATTTTTTTCCCAAAAAATTGAGTTTTTCACTTCAAAGTCTTCGAAAAAAATTAAAAAATTGCAATTTTCAAAAAACTTTCACAGCGTTACCTGGGGCGAACTATTATAATATTATAAACTATATAATTATCTAACGAATGAACTTTCATTTTTTGATTACAAATGATCCAGCACCGAGTTATGAGGGGCACCGCAATTCAACTTTTTTTTGGCGACACGTCCGGACAATTGCTACCATTGCCATATTTTTAAATATTTTTTTGTAAAAATTTGATAAAACATTCTTCTAATGTCATACTTTAATAAACCGTTGGTTGAATAAATAAATTTTAACTGTGCCGTCAGGAAAAAAATCACAAAAACATGGCTTTTTTCGCATGATTTGACCTTACCCTCCCCTTAAATAAATGTATGACTCCCTCAGTCTCTCAAGGTATTGGGACAAGGATAAACAATAAAACAAGGTCAAATTCCCTCGTTCTCGTAATTAACGGACTTTGCTTTTTTCTATTGCTGTTTTTTATTATGCCTCTCGATTTTTTTCTTCTCTTTCTGATATACGTTACTAATACTAATTCCTTACTACATAGATGAGCAAGCTCATGGCTCCCACCGTTATTCGAAATTTTTGGCGCCAGCGCCAGCGGTCAGTGAGGCGTGAAGATTTACAAAAACAATGTTACACAAATTGCGAGGCAAATAAACAATGCAAAGCAAACACAAAAGTATTTAAATGGATGGAAAACCTGTCTCTGTTGGGAATAGGAAGAAAAATCTAATATTCTTTAAAAACTTCTGATCAAAATATCGAATTGGAATGGTTGAGGTGTTTATTGACACGTCTTCAAGATTAAATTAATATCGCCAGAAAGAGATCGATTGAACGGATTTTTAGACAAACTCAGATCGAAAAATATGTTTGATAAGAAAAAATGTTTATTCTATCCGATGTAAGCAAATATTTTCAAGATACGCACTGTCATACCGACAAATTCATTTAAAAAACATTTTTGACTAGTTTATTATTTACAGTGAGAACGAATATTTTCAAGTTCCTTCTAAAATAGATTTGAATATGAATTTAAACATTGACAATGTTGGATACAATGGAGTTAAGAAGTCCTGTGGGGATTTTAACCTGCAAAAGGAAAATTTTTTTAATAAATATTTTTTATGAAAAAATTTAATAAATAAATATGACATTGATTTTAATGTTTTAAAAATTAATTTAAATTTTAATGTAATTCAAATTTTGTGTTTAAATTGGCGCATTTGGTGCAATGATCATTGGCATCAAAAGGGTCCTGTAATACGTTTGTTGGTTGGCATCCCAGTCATTTCCCACGGGGTGGCGAAAGAACACTAACAAACATTTTTTTCTCCTATTTGCCTCTTGCTCACACTTATAGCTATATCCATTTTTGTCAATCTGCGTACGAGGCTTATCGATGGTGGCTTAAAAAGGTAAAAATTCGATACCTCGATTTTAATTAGCGTTATCGATAATAATCGTTGTTATTATCCATCTCCAATGTTGATTGCCGGTAGAGGAAATTGGAGGAATTTTTTGTGGACTTAATCAACAACAGCAACCCGTTTTTAAATATACCGGTTTAAAAAGATAATCAATGATCTATATAGTCAAAAATATCATGTTCCATATTGCTCTAAATATAAAAGACTGTGCATCATAAAAGTGTTCTAGAGCACGTAAGCATCAGTAAAAACTTACATATGTAGGTACTGTGAATTATACTTAATTAAAAAAAATACATTTGTATTACTTGTTCCCCTGAAATTAACTATAATTAAATTAATCTTATCCACTTACATATATATGTTTCATGTTCAATATAGTCAAATATAAGTTTTAGGGGTGAGTGATAGTAGATTGTTATCTAGGGTAGTTATAAGTACATACAGTACATACAATATTCGTTTTTTTACTTAATCCTGAAGTATATCAAAAATGAACTGTTAAAATTACTATTAAAAAATTGGTAGCGCAAAATTATTTTATACTTAAGTTTCTTAAGAAAGTGTTCAATAATTCTATAGGTGCACATTTGTATGTATACGAAGACGAATCGTACCTATGCACAGATGTATTAATAATCACTCTCATGAATGTGGATGTGTGTATACCAACCTACTTTGGTGTTTTTTTTTATATATTACAGAAAATCGACCAAGGAACCAAAACACAAAAGCAAGAATAACATACTGCACAGAATGGATTTAGTCAACAAAATAATTCAAATAAGTTTTTTTTATTTAACTAACTAAAATTATATTCGCCCTACATATACTTATGCATATATAAATACTACATCTATTGAAAACGATATTGAGAATCAGAATTTGGGCAGTAGTTTCATTGTCACTTTCTTTAACTAAGGATCTTTTGAAAATTATCTCCTCGTTTCGAAAATTTAGTAGAATTAAAAACGTTTTTAAATATCCTATTAAAACGGATATATCTTTTCGCGTTAAAAGCAGAATATTATAATTATGTCTGCACAAGTATCATCAAATATTTTAAATGACAGCTCTAAAGAAACCATTTTGAAAATGAATACTTTACAAAGTCATCAAATTATTGACAAATCAAAAGCTCATAATACGCTACCCCTATCAGAGGATCCACGGACACTGCAATTGGCTTTGGAGCTTTCATTAGTCGGCTTAAAGGACAGTCAGCCATGTTACACACAACCCTCTGAATCGATATCTTTACCTTTAGGAGCACAAAATAACTTTGATTTAAGTAATATTAATGTGTCTGCATTTTCAAAACCATTGACACATAATGGACTTTTATTAGCCAATACCGCCATTGCTGTTTCTTTAGATGATCGGTCAAAAAAGTCTCAAAATATGACCGAATGCGTTCCAGTTCCCAGTTCAGAACATGTTGCCGAAATTGTTGGTAGACAAGGTGAGTAATTTCAAGCTAGAAACATAAAGTTAATAAATAAAATTATATATTACATTTGATTACAAAAAATTACCGTAAATTACCCAAAAACACCTCGCAAATACCAAATTTTATTGCTTTTCTTCTGACTCAACTGTAAAATCATTTGGATCAACTTGCCTGGTCATACAACTATGGGAATTTCGACCACTTCTTCTGGCGAAAATTAATATATCAAGAACGAAGCAAGCGCATTCCATGTTGTTTTTTATACCCTTGCTGAGGGTATTATAATTTTGCTCAAAAGTGTGCAACGTGTGCAGAGAAAGAGACGTTTCCGACCCTATAAAGTATATATATTCTTGATCAGGATCACTTACTGAGTTGATATGAGCATGTCCGTCTGTCTGTTTCTAGGCAAACTAGTTTCTCAGTTTTAAAGCTATCGCCTTGAAACTTTGCACCCTTCTTTTTTCTTCTCTTCTTTTCTTTGCCCGCAGTATATAAGCCGGAACTGCCGGGATCGGCCAACTATATCCTATAGCTGCCATATAACTGATTGATTGGAAATGGTATATCTTTGGTTTTTTTAGAGTTAGATAGTACATATTTTACGTGAAAGATTTTTTTTGACAAAATAATAGAACATGCCAAATTTCACAAGGATCGGCCGACTATATCCTATAGCTGCCATATAACTGAACGATCGGAAATGACCCATCTTTCGTGTTTTTAAAGATAGAAAGCTGGAATTTGATACAGATTCTATTTTTGGTCAGTTGATCCAACCTACCAAATTTTATTAGGATCGGCCGCTTATATTCCATAGCTGCCATATAACTGAACGATCGGAAATTGTATTTGGTAGAAATATCAACTTTCGTATTTTTGAAGATAGAAGTTTGGGACTTTTTTTAGATTTTGTATTTTAGTTAAATAGTTTTATTATGATGTAATCATAAGGATCGGCCAACTATATCCGATGTTTGCGATATATATCCGGTTTTAACTGCAAGGGTATATAAACTTCAGCTTCGCCCGAAGTTAGCTTTCCTTTCTTGTTTGATTTGGGTTCTTAGTAAGCTAAGGAACATATTTTTAGAAAATAGGCGTGGCACCGCCCCCTCTGGGCGGAACTAAATTTTATGTCTTCCAAAGTTATATAAAGGTAGATCAAAAAAACAAAATAACTTAAAAAAAAACAATAATATTAATTATTTTGGTTTTTCATAATCTAAGGTACTTAAGGGATTATATACCTTTTTTTTCTTTAAAAAAAACGAAAAATTTTTTTTTGCTGAATCCTAAAGTATATCCCCTAGAGAATATTTTCCCAAATTTTCATAGAGATTCGAATAATAGAAAAACAGCGTTTTGAGGCGCGGTTCGTCACGGCTGCAGACAGCGTCAAGCAACTTTGAATGCGATTATCTCAAAGTCGTGTTTTTCCAAAAGTGCCTTCGCTGTGACCACGATTGCACAAGAACTACTTGATCGATCTTCTTAAATTTTTTTTTAAATTATTCGTAATGATGGTGCCGATTTCGTGAACGATTCAGTTTTTTGCGCCCATTTTGATATCGCAGATAAAAAATTGGAAAAATGTTTACTGTATGCAGAAAAAACCAAATATTCTTGAAAATAATCGCTCACGAACTTGAAATAATACTATACTAATAAAAAATATTTGGTTTTTGATTTCGGTTGACTTGCTGGACTTCTATCGTGGTCACCGCAAGCCGCTATAAAAAAAAAGGGTTCCTTGTTGTTTCGATAAAAACATGTACTATCAATGAAAATTAACTTCAGTGTCATAAAATAATTGCTACACACCTGAAATAAAAATCCAAAGTTCCTTCAATTCTTTCGCTCAAAAGGGTATATAACCCCTTAAAAAAGGCGTGTCACCGACACTTTCTGGCAGGAACTATGGGCAAGTTTTCAACGCCCAAACCGTTTAAAGTAATTAATATTAAAAAGGCCTGAAAGGTAAAATATTCTAAACTGTTTCCCATGCGCACCTAATCAACATCTTCTTCGGTCTCAAGCTCCATATCCCTTAACTAAAGTGGATCGTCTACAATATTTTCAAACTGATCATCAGCGCTCCTTCGAACAATTCTAATACTTGTTTTGGAAGAAGCAATCTGTTTTGGGTTTGATACGGTTGGCTAGGTTAACCGATGATTTTATAGGGTCTGATGTATTCAATGATCTGTGGAATACGTCCTTTAAACTGTTGCTTCGACTCCTTTTTTTCGCATGCTTTTTCTCGGCTTCAAATATAAAACCAGCTATTTCTCGCATGCTTTTTCTCTTTCGCACATTTGGTCGCAGCAGATCTCCAAACATCGAACATCTCCATGTTGGCGAGCCTGAGGTTGTGACCTTAAAAAGTGAATTACGCAAAAAGTGCGTAAAAGGGCACTTTAATATTACATTCATATGAACAAGAATTGAATTACCTCCAACCCAGTATAAATATTAAGGTAAAACTGGCTAAAAGACCGTTTATATCTCTAACTAAATATTAGTTTTTGTTATTGATTAACACGCACAAAAGCTCTGTTAAAAACACTCAATTACAGGGACAATCACAAATAATCCAACATTTGAGAATCGAAAACATATACAGTGCCGTTCAACTGAATAGGTTTGAAAAATCGTTCTTACATTTTTCACTATATCTTTGTTCCAATTGGTTTTTTTTTTCTATTTAATTTTTAATTTTATTCTTCATTCATTTACTCATTATTTGCAAGAAAAAAGTAGCGGGAAAAAGTCAACGGTTATTTGGAATTTTGCTTTGATATTGAAATTCTGTAAATGCGCGCGCTTTTTTTGGCTCATCTGATTAGGTTTGAAAGCTTTGACTTCACTTTGTATTTAACTGCGGGATTGAAACGACTTGAATTCAATTGCATTACAAAATTGTTATCACTGTTCACCAATATTTTGTAAAATGGGCCGTGCAAAGCGGTTAACCGATTTTGAAAAAAGTCAAATAAAAGGCTATATTGATATCGGCTTAAAACATAATGAAATAGCTAAGAAAATCGGCCGAAGTCAAAACGTTGTGAGTAATTTTATTCGTAATAAAGCAGACTATGGAAAAAAAATGAAAGGCGGGAAAAAATACGCAACGACAGCATCAGAGAGGCGACTTATTCTGCGTACTGCATCAAACTCCCACCTATCTGCGCGTAAAATAAAAGAACAATGCGGTGTAAATGCAAGTGTGGCAACGGTTAAGGGGGGAAATACAATTAAAAGGCCTAAAATGAGGCCTATCTTTGGGAGTGGATTGCAAGTAGGGAATTGAATGAATCTTAGCGATTCTTTTTGCATGTTATTAGGAAATTATTGGGCAATGAAAATCAGTCAAGTTTTTCGAAAAATATTGTAATTAAGCCCATTTATGATCAATAATGTAGAGTCGTGTTTTGGGGGATAAACTTTGCGCCGTGCAGTCTCCAGGCCCAGGATCACGTCTAAAACAAAAAACAACAACTGGGCATTAAACTTAGAGGTACAGCGCACAACATGAATTATTTCATATGTAAAAAAAAAGGGTTTTTCCATGAAAAAATTTGAAACTGAAAAAAATGTTTAAAAAAAACACACTTTTTTTCGACTTTGTTCGTCAAAAAAACATGTTATAACAAATAAATATGAAAAATCCTTTCATTCATGTTGTGGAGAATTTAATTTCAAATATAAAGCAAAAAACCGCATTCGATTAAAATGAAATCTCTGACCTGTACATTGCACGGCGACTTTGAAAACACGACTTTTCAGTAGAAGCGTTTAAAGTTTACCACTCACTAAAGTTTACCACTGACACGCACTCACTAAATTGCGTATTACTTGGAAAATAAGTACCGGACGGCTTTATGCTTTTAAAGGCTTATTCCTAGACATATTTAGAGTACATTAGGACAAAAAAAAAATTTTTGAAAAAAATAAATTTTTAATTGTATCTTCCCCCTTAAGCGAATTATTAGAAGTGCAAAACATTTGAAGAGACTAAAAATAAAAAAAAAACCACCTCTTAACGATGCTCGTAAGAGTGCACGACTTCAATTTGCAAAAGCGCACATGACGTGGAACAAGGAGTGGAAGACGGTGATCTTCTCCGACGAAAAGAAGTTCAACCTCGATGGACCTGATGGGTATAACTATTATTTCCACGATTTGAGAAAGGAAGAGTGCTTTTTAAGTCGTCATCACACGTGTCAAGGTGGAGTAATGGTATGGGGAGCCATATCTTTTTATGGAACGTGCGAGCTGCAGTTTGTCACCTCAAAGATGAATGCAAATGACTACAAGAAAGTACTTCAAAACGCTTTTCCTCAGATTTCTGAGATTTATGGTCGTCTTCCATGGACGTACCAACATGACAACGCGCCCATCCATACCGCTCGGGTTGTAAAGCAATGGATTCAGGACCAAAACGTCAAGTTGCTCGATTGGCCGCCTTACTCCCCCGACATTAACATTATGGAAAACATGTGGGGACTTTTGTCCAGAAGAGTTTACGAAGATGGAAGACAATTTAGTGATTCTGGAGCTTTAGTTAAAGCAATTAAAGAAGCCTGGGCCACAATTACACTTAATGAAATTACAAAATATTATGATTCATTACCAAACCGTATTTTTGAAGTAATAAAGAACGTGGGTGGGCATACCAAGTACTGAATAATTCTAAAACAATATATTTTAATTTTTAAGTTAGGTAGTACCTTGAAATGTTCCTTAATTTGAATAAATTTAATAGTTTTAGTGATCAAACCTATTTAGTTGACCCAAAAAAAATTGGCATTTTTTGTTATATTTTTGAAAAAATTAATAAAAATAATATAAAAACAAAACGAACAGAACAGAAACTTGCTATTTTATAAAACACAGATTTCTTTATACATCGAAACTTATTTCGAGAAAATCGGAGCTCTTGTTACAGAGTTACAACGATTCAAACCTTAACCAAATGTCAAACCTATTCAGTTGAGCGGCACTGTAGT